AGTGGAAGTCTTAGCGGCTCGGACGTCGAGCCCCCAGCTGGCGCAAGTGGGCCTGGCCGTGGCAGCAGCTGGGCGATGGAAAGAAAGACTGGGGGGAGGAAGGAACTGGACAAGCGCGAGCGGGGAGTACGCTCGGGTAAGCTGGATGATGGAGGTTTGTGTATTAATTATGTTCTGTCTCGCTGTGTGGGATCTATGAAGCCGCCTAATGTATGCTTAGCCGCAGGTCGCCTGTTCGGATCAGACTTGGGAAGACCTCACAGACCTCCATGACCCAAGAGTCGAAGAGAAAGTAAGAGGCAGGGCAGATGACACTGCGATACAGCATGTTTGAGTGACATGGTCCAAGTGATTCTGTTTCGAACCTTTGGTGTGTTTTTCCTAGCCATACACGCCGACAAAAAAAGCATGGAAGAGCATCCGGAGACATCGATCAATTATTATTTCTATATAGTGTATGTATTTGTTGATTCTTAATTATTTAGCTGCCATTGGCTGGCCGCCCGCTCCTGACGACCACCCGGTCCATAGTCGAACATGGCGACTGGACACACGAGCGTTGGCTTGAGCAAGCAGGGAGCGTCATGAATCACAGGTCGGCTGGACATGGCAGCAAGGTATCGATGGCAGAAGGGTATGGTACGGAACGTGCTGCAGCCAACGGCTCACAACTTTCATCAGCCCATGCCACCAATTGAGCATGAAAAGCCTAAGGTTGGCCCGAGAAAACTCCACAAGAAATGAAAGGGAGGTAGAATAATGTAGACTCTTGATATCTCTTGATTAATAAATTGATATGAAGAGGATGTCCAATTCAAACGGTGCAGGTTATTAATCAAGAGTCTACATGTATGATCTCGACTTTCCACAGTCTCATTTGTTCAGCCCTGCCCCCTCAGATCTAGGCTCAGATGGCCATGGCTCGAAAATAGGACACCCTCAACATCCGGGATAACCACAAAATTGGTGAAAGGAACCATGGAAGTAACATTGTTTGATAGAATTCATTGTGATCATGTCCCTTCTTCATGCACTAGCTATATGATTTATGTTGCTGCAACCCCGATCATTTAACAAACAACGCAACACGGAATCCGCTCCATGACCTGATTCCGTGCGGATTCCGTGACCTGACCGAGTCAAAGAAGGACGAACGAACGTGAGCGGACCGCGGAAGAGAGGCGAGATCGCCGTTTACCGCCGGCACCTCAGGTCGTCCTGTTGATCTTGCCTGCCTGGCGGCGACACATCCTCTCCAAAGTCATCACACTCGAGACGCTTGGAGCGGAAGAGAGGCGTGAGCCAGTGGGGTGAGCCAGCCTGAAGTGGGGTGAAGGCGGCTCAAAAAAGAGCTTGGGCAGAGCTTTGGGACACTGAGGAGGATTGCTCCTTTTGGGACTCCAGGGTTTAGAGGGGACCCACTTGTGAGAGTGAGTTTGCAACAAAGTGTTTTTGATCGACACCTACAGTGCTTTCAGAGTAGATGGTACAACCATGCACAAAGATGTTTTGAAGATATTTTAAGATGGGGGTCCATATCAACTACCCTTTGGCGGATTGTGCCATCTACTCTCAATCCAATCCACGATAGCTGCGGAGCGGACATAGATAGGCCGGGCCCCTAAACTACCCGCCACCATCGAAACGATGGAATTGCAGAGCATTGAAAGAACGGTCAAATCGAACATGCCCAGACACTCAATAGTTATATAATGTTATATACAGGGGTCATACATGGGGCAAATGTACTGTAAATGATTGTATAATGAATGTAACATAATTTAACTATTCGTGGAGTGTTTGGGATGGTTGAACGGTGGGTCAAAGGAGCACCCGCTTGCTTGGGTTCTGCTGCTCCCTTGCTCCGCTTGCTCCGAGGAAGCAAAGGGAGGGCAAAGAGGATCGGCCAGACTCGTTGGATGCCTGTGCCTGTGGGCATTCCGTTTCAGAAAGACAAAGGATTCTCTGGTTGTTTGGAACTGGAACTTCTCATCCTACTGGCAAAGCCCACGGACAGCATTTCAAAGTCAACACCTGGAACTTGGGCTGGGTGTTTCCGCGTGACGCCTTCCGCACATTCGTCGCGGATCCTCGGACGCGCAGTCCGAAGCGAGAGTGATCCCCGGTTCCTGCGCCCCTGACCCAGGAAAAACCTGCGTCTTGGACTCCAGACACTCCTTGATCCTGGTCGTGTTTTTGGGATAGACATGGATAGACCAACTCCACTCAAATGAGGTCATTGACCTCTACAGTGCCCCCTCCCCCCCGGCCCGAGTTCACATACCAGCGGCGGCGTTGGACCGCCGAAGGGCGGCGGGTGGGTGTTTCAGGAGGACATGGACACCCGAACCGTGTCGAGAACCAAGAACCAGCAGCGGCTTGGCTCAAAGAGGCTGGGCTTAAACCGCACAGAATGGCGCAGATAGGGTGGTTATAGTGCCTGGTCTACATCATGCTACATGATGCTACATGTAATCCATTCCTCCATCTCACTCCAATGAACACCCCTGCAATAATGGGTCCAATGTCCAAGTGAATTGATTCAGTCATTGCGAAGCCAAGGGGCTTGGGTGGTGGAGTCTTTTGTCAAGTGGGACGGGTTGCCAATTTTGCACATAAAGATCCATAGCGTACAATATATAATATATAATCAGTGCTGCAGTGGTGAGAGACTTTTTCCAAATCTTTTCAACCTTCGGGGTCATTCTCTGTCATTCTCAAAGTACGAACAAGCCCCGGAGGTTTTTCGAATCTTCTGTGCTTGATCGCAAGCATCGAGCCCACCAGTCCGACCAACTCAGGTGAGGGCCCATGAGTTTCGAGCAAAGCGCCGTGAACTGGGGATCTGCCCCACATTTTGTTGTGTCCTTGACATTCCTGAGAACATCCCCCGTGCTTGGCGCCGAAATCCTGAGGGTTGAAATCTCACCTTTTGACAATTAAAAAAGAATGTTCAGATGTGAGCAATGGCATGTGTTGTTGCATCCCAGCATCTCCCAGCGCCTCTTGCGAACCTGTCGAAGCTATGCCCTGCTTGTTTAAAAACAAAAAACTGAGGAAGTTTTGAAGTCTAATGCCCCGGTCTGGCGAGCACCCGGTCTGTTGCCCAATCCACCGCCATGCCTTCCATCGGGATGAGCGCACTGGCGAGAGCCTCGTCCGTGCGAAAAAGATGGGCAGAAACTCAATGACTCAATGAATCGCATCGGCAAAATGCCATGCGCATGGCCAAAGATGCCAAAGAAGCATTGCGAAGGTTGACGAATGATGGATGTTGATTAGCCTGCAGCTTAAGTATCTTCAAGCTCCTTGTGGGTGATAGGGTGTGCTCCATTCCAAGCAAGGTCCATGTTCCAACAAACTATTTATAGTATCTATATAGAAGTTCCGCCACCGCGAACGTGAGATGCAACCTGGTGCTTCGCTTGCTGCGCCACCTGCGCGAAGATTAGTTTTTCACCACATGTTTCACTTGCAGGTTCGACTCGAGGCAGCGGCCATCGGGGTTGGCTCAAGAATGACGAGTGAAATGACATTCAAGACCTAAATTGGATGTGCCAACCCTGGGTCCGCGCCCCATGTGGAGACACGTACCTGGTGTTCTCTTATGTCGGCAAGGATGAGTGGAGGTTGGTGCAGGGCTGCAGGCAACTTTTTTGGGATGTGTTTACTTTGAGTCCTTAGCATTTTGACATACATGACGCATTACAATGCTACAATGCATGATGATATGAGTCGTTTTCAAAATTATCGTCATTTACTTTATATACAAGGGCGTTTCATCGAATAGATTCGAATAGTGTGATTTTGGGTTTTCCTTAGAAAACGATACGGGACCCGGGACGTCCAAAAAAATGATACCTCTATTGTTACATGCACTAGTTCCGTGAGTTTTTTTTTTCCAGTTCATGTTGGTATGTCGTCTTGCTACAGCAACTCTTCTGAGCATTTGTGCTCAAGGGTCTGAAGGGCATCACTTCATGAACTGGTTTGTTCTTGCAAGTGTCACAGGAAACTAGGGATTGTGATCGCTTGTGTTTGAAGGGCTGTGTCCTGGCTGTTGGCTCATGGGCTGGCCCCAGCCTATGAGGAAAGGCTAGGCTCTGGAACAAGGTGCACACCTTTGTCCGTCTGTCTTGGTTTGGCAAGGGGTTGTTTTCTCTTTGGTGTAGCGTGAGCGCAGCGCGTGTGCTTGCAAGCAGTTTAATGTCACAAAGGATACAAAGTGTCAACATCATAAAACGATACCCCAAAACGATACCCGAGAGAGTGAAAAACAAAAGCTCCTCAGACAGTGCCCCATGGGCAAGGCTGCATAGGTGCAGGCAGGCTTGTGTCCTCTAGTGACTCTAGTGAAAGAGATCAGATCCGCAAACGAGCGGCAGAAGCCAGCGATGTTGCGCTTGCTGGAGCAGCCCTCAGTGCTGTTGTCCTCCCTCACTTCACAGAGCTCGTCACACTTCCAGTGTTTGCAGGGAATGCTCTCAGAGCATGAGTGATCAGGAATAGGGGTTCCTGTGTTTTGTTGTCTGTGCGTTTGTGTTTGTGGTTTGTTTGTTATGATCCGTCACGTGCATGTTGGTGGCAAGACTCCGCCATGCGCAACATGCAAAACTTGCAAAACGATACATACAGCGCTCGTTCTGCCAAACATTGTAAAACGATACGGGACGTCCTAACTTTGGATGAATACAGCTTAAGCAAGTAATTTTGAAAACAACTCATATGATGTGCGTGGCTGGCTAGCATCACTTAGAGCAACAGATTTGAATGGGAGTTTCTCTTGAAACCATTGACCATGAGCTTGAAGAAAACGGAAGGGGGGACGTCACCCTAACCTTAGCCCGGCCATGCAGGGCCTTCGGTTGGTTCGGGGAGACAAGTGAAGCACGAAAATCTCATTCTCTGCGGCCAACTGTTCCATTCGTTAAAGCAGGATGGAAGTGGAACAAGGAACCGTTGATGCCCTCCTGAAGCCCTGAAAGCCCTTGAGCCACCAGGGGGCTGCGAAGCCGAAGCCGAACAAGAAGGAGCGTCCCACGGCGCGATAAGAAGCTGCGTCGCCACGGGGCAATACCTGCGCCACGGCGAGGAACGAGTTCATGAGAAGCTGGTCCACGGCGTTGCTTTTGGTGAAGTCATTGGGGACGGCGCAGCCCAAGACACCACCAGATTCCCAGACTGTTCATAAGACAGGAGTCAACACAGTCACAGACATGAGAAGATTTGGTTTGCATGGGCTTTGTTCGGCCTATGGAGAGTTGTGTTACCAGCCCTGACCAGGGTGAACTTACACTTCCATTCTTCGGTGAATGCTTCCATATTTTTTTCCCTTCACGTTTCTGGACCCTGGCCAGTGGGATTTATGCCAAAACATCAAACCCAACCAGCAGATTGCAGGAGTTGGAGAAAGATGAAGAGAAGGAGGCTGTGAAAACAACATGGCCCAGTCTAGGACCGAGATGGAGTTGTTGCGAATCTTAGACCTTAGAGTGCTTTGTGGTATATACCGAGCGCATTGTTGTCAGATGTCCGCACACACACACACTCACTGATATACAGTGCGCGCTTGTATTGTTTTTACACATGAGTTCGTTCCTTTGCCGGGGCTCTGACGGCCAGGCTGCCCCACAGGCTCCTGTCGTGGCTGCTGATGGGTAGGGACCTTGCGTGGGAGGGGGATGATAGGTGGGCGATCGTGGGATGATGTGTTTTTCCCCAAGATCTTTGGGATGTAGTCACCTAGTCTGGGTCTGTGGGTGCGGTCCTTGTTCACGCCCACTGATACCGAAACATGTGTACCCCAATTCTGTTCGAGTGGATGTTTTCTGCTTGACTGCGTGCTCCCAAAAAGAAAGTGCTCGAACTGTTTGGGGGACGGAATGCATATGTCAGCTGACACAAATTGTAAGCGAGCACATATCCAGTTCTCGTACATCCACAGGCTCCGATACTGGCATACAAAAACAACGTTGTGTTGTTCTGAGGTTAAGACCTGCGACTTGCAAGCAAGCAACTCTGTGAATGACATCTGCAGCCAGCCATGTAGAGAACCCTGAGGCACACACACACACATATATATATATAATCATCCTGGAGTAGATAGAATCTACTTTCGTAGGGGGCGTTTTTCTCTTGAAACAACTCAGGGTTTTTGACATCCCTTTCATTTTATGAAGACTGACCCTATAGATAGAATATAGTGATAAGATTCTTATCAACTCCTCCCATTCCGGTATTTGCTCCTTTGTTATTTTCATGTTCTGTTCCCATGTGTATTTTCTAAGCTTTCTTTTCCTTTTTCTTTTCTTTAGAACGAACAGAAAATAGAACGAACAGAGAAGGAAAAGGACAACAAAGGAAAGGAAGAGAACCCCCTACAACCATATTCTATCCTTGGGGTTTGGAAGGGCCGGTTTTGAGGAGTGAATTGTTTTTTGAAAATTCGTCCATTCTATCTACTCCAGAATGATTATATAAATATATATAACTACATATATAGTGTAATTATATCTATATATATATCGTTTGATATAATATCATGCATATATATATATAATGTATATATTATGCGAGTGCATACTCACTTATATCTGTGAATATAACGCACACACACACACACACATATATATATATACATACACAATTACATACATATTTACATCTTTAGGGCTGAGCACAGAAAGCACAACATGTCAACATTTGAGCACGGTGGTGCATGATATGGATTCCTGCCCTTTCACTGCAATAAACCCTGCCGAGCAGGCATAAATCACCTCCCGTTTGCTCCAGGGCACGGAAGAAGACCGTGACGGTCCAAGTGGTTCCAAACGACCAAGGCCTCAAAACGTCCCAAAGCCCAATGGTTTTGAGTGGTATTCGAAGCAGAGGGAAAAGAATCCTTCGGGTGTGGAAGACAAGGTGCAGCACCGGGCGCTCGCGAGGAGTTCGGGGCTCAGGTCTGAAAAGATGCGCGCGGCACTGCAAGCCTTGAAGCAGCGGAGAGCGGACTTGGCCACTTGGACTGATGTTGAGGAACCAACAAATCAAACAAGACCAAAGTAAGCATGCCCAAATCATTTGTACAGGTCACTGCGTCAACCATGCCGGAAACTGTTTCAATGGCCGCTCAACAAGAATACAAGGCTGGCTGTCATAGCGAAAGTAGTAGCGAGAGTATCAAACACATTTCCCAGCTTTTTGTAGCTGGGAGTCCTTGCATTTTGCATGCCCAATGAGTTTGGTGCAACCTATTGGTGGCCCTGCCTGGGTGGTTCAAATAAGACAGTTGTCTTAAATTAGGCAAAAGACACAGTTTTAGAACCATACCATAGTATTTATGCGAACCTCACTTGGGTTTGGTTTGGGGCGCTCTTTTCTCCAAACGGAACCGCAATTTTGCAGGCGATCCTTTAAGCTACACCTGGCCACATGCTGAGGACGCTGCACACCAAGAGCTGGGGGCCTCCAAGAAGAAAGAAGAGGAACTGCAAAAGCAGCGGGGCACCTCATGGGGGGCATGTTTTTGAGATGGAAGATGATGGACGTGGGCCTGGAAGACTGGGTGGGTGTGGAATAGATCTAATACTACTGGCCACTGGCCAGTGACGAAGCATTGTGAGAACATCACCCATATATACATCCATATACCGTACCTGTGTATGGCACGGTATGGCACGATGGTTGTTGAGTTCTTCAGGTGCCCGTTCGCTGTCGATTGGAACGTGTTGGCTGTCGATTACACGGTTCACCCGCTGCCTGAGTTTGGCACAGCTGTACTGGATCAGATTCCACCCGAGAGGGGGCGCGGTTCGCCGCTGGTAGCACGGGGCCGCTCCAAGTACCCCTTGGGGTTGTGTTCCAGGCTCCACCACAAATGGATATTTAGACCATGGACAAGGATTGCTTCCGTCTGGGGATGTTTAGCAAAGGTCACCCTTCATCAGGTCCACCTGTTTTGTAGAGAGCCCGAAGCCCTCTATGGTATCCTAGAGCTTCATGAAACCTGAACTCAGTAGCCTGTGCCATTTTTCTGAGGCGTAGCCTGTGCTGCACTTCAGTCACTTAATGTCTGTAAGACAAAGTAATAAGTAATCCCTGTCCGGTTTTGGATTCGATGGCAGCAGATTCCACACCGCTCGAGCGCAGCTCTTCAGAGCTGCGCCCGCCTCGACGGGGGGAGCCAAGGCTCCGAAGTGTTCGAGCGGAGTTGGATGCGGAACGCACCTCGAAGGCGAGCGAGCTGCTTTGAGGAAAGGTGCGTCAGCCATCCATTGGCCAAGAGTCAACACCATGCTATCATCATCCAACATCTAACTTCATCCCCGTGGCACATTTCCTCTACAAAATGGGACGTGTTGACCACTGAAACAAGGCATTTCTATGCATTTCTCATATAATAGGAAAGCTTGTCTGGATGTTTTTGTGTTTGGCATTTTTGTAGAGGGGTAACCCACGTGCACCAACAGCATGCGTATTTGGACACTTGTGATCGTAGACATGGGGACGTTCCTATTTAAAGTTGAATTGTAGAGAAACATGAGAAACATCCCCCTTTGGAAGGTTCCCATTTTGTGGAGTGTGTCCCTGGCCCGACCTTGTGCTCGAAGGCATGACCTTGTGCAACTTGACCGACCGACAGGATTCTATTCTAGACACCTGGAGCCTGGAGGTCCACTTTTCGAGGTCGAACTACAAAAAGGCGAACTAACACGCCATCGAAACCGAACGGGTCCTCACCCCTCTAACCTTCCCTCACCGGGTGGATCTCATGTTCTCTCACACCTCCCCCCCAATCACCCGCTCGTGTCGAGCGCCAGGCCTCCGCGACGGATCAGCTGCAGCGAAGGGCCCAGATCGTGCTTCGTTCGATCGGATCAGTCGTATGGGGTCGTCTCGGTCTTGGGGGTCTTTAGAGCAGACCCCAGATACAGAAGATGCAGAGTCGAACACCAATCAAGAAGAACACCTCAACGAAGGTTGCTGGACCTTGGTAGTAGCAGCTTGCTGCTGCCAAAGCTAAATCGAGGGCCTCAGCACCATTGTGTGAATAAGAAACTGCGTTTTTATGTAAAAAATAAAGTCTGTGTTTGGAAGATGTGGACCTTGGTTCCAAAGAATGTATTGTAAAATATGAGCCTGATGGAACAGATTTGTAAAAATAATGTCAGTCGTGATACAATGGCTTTGAACCTCAGAACTGGTTGATTTTATGTTCATTATCTTGGATGATTTTGGATGTGCCTGCAATCTCCGCTATGTATATGTAATACTGGCAGCCTTGTCGCTTTGTTCCGGGTGGTAATGTACAACACCGAAATATGTTCAATATCATAAATATCCAATGATAAACTGATAAACACATCAAATTTGGGAAGACATGGTCAGAGACAAGTTTTTGTGCTTCGAGGTTGGAGCACTGCAGAGGTTATTTTGTGAAATTGCTGCATGGCACCAAACCAACCCCCCAAAGCCACCCAACCCAGCCAGAAAGCTTTTAATCTGACATTGCTTCACAGACTGAAAGAGGTATGTATTGCATTCTTTGGGTGGATTTGGCTTTGGGTTGGCAGATTTTTCTAGTGGAACCCTCCTTCCAATAAAGGCCTGCCCAAAACACATTTCAAGCAAATGCAAGTGGTCAAGAAAGCATCACCTCCACAGCAGAATGCATCTTCCACAACTCACAGCACCTCACACAAGCCTTGCCAACCCTACCAAGTAAAACATCATAGAAGCAAAACATACAAATAGAATTTGGGAAGTTCTTTTATGGTTGGAGGTTGGGGAACTGCGGAGTTTATTGTTATCTATATAATTGCGGCATGGCACCAATTCAGCCCCCCCCAAACCCAGCCAGAAAGCTTTTGAATTGACATTGCTGTACAGACTGAAAGAGGTATGTATTGCATTCTTTGGGTTGGCAGATTTTTATTCTAGTGAAACCCTCAGGGCGAATGGGTGACCCTTCACCACTCATTGAGCTTCCATTGGCGTATGTTGGCGTTGGATCGTCGGATCTTTGATGTTTGAGGTCCGCCCTGAAAATGCTCAAGTCGGACCTCCAAGCAGCTGAGCTGGCCAAGGTGCTGGTGGGTGGTTGGGAAAGCGGGAGAAGTATGGCCCAGTATGGCGAAATGGACGCCAACGCAGGTTCGGTCCACTAGGCATAGTCCCCTGGCCTGCTCACTTTCGCACCTGCACGGGTCGGCTCCACCGGCGAGTCGTCGTCTCAAGGCCTCGCTGGCCTCAGAAGCAGAGATCTTGAGGTGCACGGGGAGCGGGGAGCGAAAGGGGAGCGAAAGGGAGGGAGGACATCCATAAGGAAATCCATGGAAATCCTACAGCCCCAGGCAGCGGTTTTTTTTTCTAAGATGAGATGGATGCAGACTTGGAATGAGGGGAGTTGCAATCTGAGCTGGCATATGTGGGTATAGTTTCCTGATGCCTGGTATAGTGGCCGAAATGCGGACATGTTGCTTGGTTGGGATGTTTGCCATACGATATCCCCAACAATTGGCATCGTACAGCGGGTTGGTTGTACGGTTGTGATTACATTTTCCGATATCATACAGATCGAGGACATTTGGTATAGGTCTTCATAGGTCTTCAGCAACCCGTGTCCAAGAGATCCAAGTTCTTCAAATGGGCAATGGCCATGAGGGCAAGAATTTGGCATCCTGTTTGTTATCACCTTGGAACAGTTGTTCTTGTGGATGCTGGCCCTATAAGCACAAGTGTTACAGAAAGTGCCAGAGTCGTGTGCTGTCTCCTTGCTTTGTGTGTTTTGTCCAGCGGGCTGTACAACACAGGAGGGGACCAGGCCGGTTCTTCAAGTGTCAAGCAACTGGTATATATAGTTGAATCTCGTTGAGTATGACTCGATTCCTTGGGAGTGCAGTTCCTTCCAAACCAAGAACAGTTCCCCCCATTCTTCACCAGGTCTTTTGATGCTTCAGTTGCCCCACGGCGCCTCATCCGCGCCTTACCCTGCGGGGCCTCGCCGGGAACCAGGTCTCAGGAGAAGGAGCGACAACAGGAGCTGGAAAAGCTTCGACAGGCCACTGAGGGAGGTTCAGCCGAACGCGCACAGAACAATGAATCTCTAAGACCAATCTATGCGTATGTATGTATAACTATACATTCATTATATATATGTGTATATATGCACAGAACTATTATATAATATCCTCATCCACGGTGACGAATTCAGAAGACAGCTTCGGACCGGGAAGGGTTCCTGCAGGTCACCAAAACGGCTTGTCGCGCTGAAACAGGTACAGGCTGTATACATGTGCGTTTCCTGCACAAATGCCCAACTGTAGCAAGATTTTTGCAAGCAACTCTTAGGCTGTTTATGCATCAGTCACTTGTGGACGCAGGCAGCCTCGGAGTCTGCAGCGAAGGTGACCCACCTAGGCGTGTTCTCCAAGTTGGGCTTGGAGAGGAGTTGACCACAGGAACCAAAAGCTTATGGCGACCGGAAACCACTCGGAAATGAACCCGGATCGTGTGCAGGAACCCGGACGCTCTCAACGAATCCACTTGGATTCGACTAGAGGACTTGGTTACATGCGTGGTAGTTCATTCTGTTTAGACCTTGGTCTGGTGGTCAACCGCTCGGCCTCCTGACCCCCCGCTATGTCTCGGGCAAAGCGCCAGATGGATCCAGATGGGTGTGTATTCTAAATCTGGGAGATCCCCTGAGCTGGCTGGGCCGACTGGTCCATTTTCTCAAACCGAACTGGTCCAGGGGCGTTGCTCCGTCCATTTCGCCGAAACCGTCTCCCTATTTGACCGATCTGTCTCCAACATCCGCCCTATTTGATCCGCCACTTGTGGTGCACCCAGACACTCCGACACGACCCATGGGACTGCCGATCAGTTGGGGTGGTTGAGGGGGTCAATGGGATGACATATATGGCAGTCCATGGGTCGTGCCTGGGTAATGATTTGGGGACCACATGTTGGTCGAAGATGATCGTTCCTGTAGCAGGCGGGGAGTCACGCGACCCTTTTGAGGAGGGCGAGGGTTTGCACCATCGAGCATGAAGACCTATCTCCCGCTAGTGATTCAGAATGCCTTCGGGTTTCATGACGATGTGCGCTTCAATCGCTGGCCGGCAAGCGAAGCCACCACCGTCGCCGCTTCCGAACACCGGCCGGGCAGCGAGACCAACTGCCGCCGCCTTTTCGGCTCATCGCTGAAGTCGGTCCTTTGAAGTCTCATCGGTTTTCGACGCCTGCAAGATTCATCATTAATGTGTTGTTTGCTTTGGAGGTCATCGAACACCACTTCATCTGCTATTGTCGCAGCAAGGGTCTACCGCGTTCAGGAAACCTGTACCAGCTTGCATAGATGAAGGCCCTTGAAAACATTTATCTTTCGTTGTGCGGATCATCGCGCTGCTCCGCGGTAAGAACCGCAGTCGTTCCAGCACCAAAGCCTAGTATTGTACTAGTATTGGTGTCAAACCTGAATTCATGTCATTTGGGTGAAACCTTTTGCCCCTCGTCCAAAGTCGACGGTGGCCTCTCCTCATGTCGACTACTTCGCCATGCAATTCAAAGTTTCAGGGTTGGGAAGGCTCAAACAGTTCTTAAATAGGTTTATTATGGCTTATTTGTTTATTACTTTCCAAAAAGGCAAGACACTCTGGAATGGAGGAATTTGTTATTTTCCAGATGGAGGAATACAACAACTCTGGTGCCAGCCACCAGTGGTTTGAGCCTTTTCACCCGTGAAGCATAGTGAAGCATTGCAAGGAGTCAAGGAGTGCTCCAATGGAGCTGCACTCATCTACGATGGATCTGTTGAGGCATGTTGAGACCCCTCGCAGAAGCTGAACGTTCTGTAAAGATGGTTGGTCCGACTGTGGAAGAAATCCCAGTGACAACAGAAGTGACGAAGAACTGTTTTTGTTTGGTGTCCGTCATCGAGAAGATGACGATGAAAACAAGAACGTTCGCCTGTGTTCACTACTGGCTGAAAGAGACAGCCCATGTACAAAGACCATCAAAGACCAATGATAGTAACAAGAAATGTGGCCGGTCATTTTCTGGACGTGACTTTCAGCTGAATTGCAGTCTTTTGAGATGATCGGATCATCGGATGATGACGTGCCGAGTCTGCCGCCACGGAGCCCAACAAACGAATCCACAATTCGATGAATCTGGTGATGTCCAACCCCTTTGTAGAACACAGGGCCATGAGTGTGCATTCATGGGTTCCCAGTCCATTGTTACACGTTCATCCAGATTACATTGCATGTCCACCACCAAGTGTAATATAGATTCAGTTCCTAGGAAGTTCATGCGAGAGGTCGTTCGAGTCATCCACCCCTTGCTATGCCCCATCAACATGTGCAAATCCACCACCAACTACATCCAACGCTCTTCTTCCAGCTCCCACTCCAGGTGCACAATTGCAGCGTGCAGGGAACGCCTGGTATGCACAGGGGCGCAGGGGTTTCTCCAGAGACTGACCTTCTGTGCGGACCTCCCAACCAATGGGTTCGCAAGTCGTGCCATCCCAACCAATGGGTAGACTGGTCGATGTTCCTTCTTCCAGGGGGTCGTTGCCTGGGAGGTGCCCCTATAGTAATACACACTCACACATGGTTTTTCTTCTTTCTTCTCCAAGCCCGACGATTTCGGGGCTCAGGCTCTGCAGCCCAGACTTTTTTTGCTGTTACGGATGAGGCTAGTCACGGTATAGACGAAGCATCATTTGGCGGCTGCGTTCCGCCAACAGATTTTGTCGGGTTTGAACGTGAGAAAGCTCAGCAATGTAATGATTCACCGCCCGACGCCCGATGTCATGTTACATAAGCTCAAGCAGATCGCTGGTTCAGAACTTGAGGATTTGAACTGTTACTCCTTGGTGTGTTGAGAAACGTTGCGCTAGCCACAGGTGATTGAACAGCCACTTCCCCCTTTTTTGTTGGGCCTGAATGAGGCAAACCTTCTTTCCCGCCCTCCTTCCCATTCCCTGAATTCCAACGACTTCCAAAAGGCACAGCAAGAGAAAGCGTCGACGAACGAGGAGGCGGAGAACCTCAAGAGGCGCCGCGGGACGACGCGGCCGGACGCGACCTCAGTCCCAAGTCCCGCTCCGCGACCTCATGACCCGCGGCGACTTGGCGGGCATGAGTCCCTCCGTCTTCCAACTCTCAAAACCAGAAAAAGTGTGGGTTCCAGGACCCTCCTGTGTGGGGTGCCCTGTCTGGAAGCCTAGTGGGGTAGTGTGGGGTACGGGTAGTTCGGCCAGGACACCCTCGACAGGAGGGTCCTGGGATATGAGTAGTCAAAACCTGGAGCTCCAACGCCTGGTAGGTTGATCTGGCTGGGTCATTTTCGCTCAACCCGATCCCCCACTTTTGACCCACTGTCCCCACGGCCCAAGGGTTTGGGCAGTAGGTCATGTGCGAACGTGACGTTGATTTGAAGCGAACGTGAACGCCCCGTGAAGACATTGAGGCCATGCCAGAAACGAGTGATTTTGGCAAAGAACGGTTGTTTATAGGTTGTTCTTTGACATGTGCCAAAGACACACACAATCAAAGATCAGAGCCATGTTTCTTTTCGCTCTCTTTTTTGGAGGTGACGATTTATTGTTTTCATCAGGCAGATGTCAATTGATCGCCGCAAAAAATGGGTACTTGGCGTACTTCTTGAATCATCTTGAATCTTCTTGATATCTTCTTTCCAATTGAGACCAGAATTGAGACCAAGTGGTGCGTTTTGAGTGTCTTTTGTTCAACACCCGTGTGGTTTTCCTGAAGTTTGCTGAATCAGCTGCCGCCACTGCTGCTCGGGCTCGGACGATCCAGGCAGACGGTGGCTGCCAAGACGGAGCTGGAGGCGCTAAGGGGATCGAAGGAGATCGAAGGCACTCCGTGAAGTGAAGGAACGTGGGGATGGGACGAGGGATTTTGATTCAGATGTTTTCTATTCATGTGTTCTACTAGTATGTTTTTTGGTTTCCGAAGCTTTGCCACAAAGCTTGAACTTCGGAGATGGAACGGTGGAGAGTCAAGATTGAAGACATGAAAGCTGGTCCTGTCATGACGGCCGTGCATGTGATCGAGTCGCTGCACTGGCTGGACATGTCAAGCGCGGCCAGCGAGCGAATTCCGCGGCTGGGAATCGGAAGTTCATGTCAATGAACCGATCCCAAGAACAGGATACGTGGTCGCCACCGCATGCTGATTGGACTATCGTTTACTCAAGGATGCACAACCCCGAAAGAGGGATCAGATATTCTCCATTCAGCATAGGACATGCTAGCAGCAGAACCCCCCATCAACGTTTGATGATGAGATTTTGAGGGTAGGCCATGTGCAGTTGCGATTGGCCTGTTTGGGGATTGTGGGGGGTGCAAGGCAGAGTTTGTTTCTGGATGCTGGCAATGAGGCAGATGACTTGACAGATTGTTGCAGGAAGTGGTCATAAGTGGTCCACTTGAAGTTATCTCACTCGCATCAAGGAGTCATGCTGGTCATGGGTTTGACCTGACTGGCAGCTCCTGGGATTGACTCTCGATTCGGCCCTCCGTGTTTAACACATTTTAGGACCCGGAAACTGTCTGGGCATGTCACACACCCAGACACTCATTGGGTTGGAATATTTTATAATATTTTACCTACATTGGGTTGGTGCATTGCAGGGTCAATGTTCACTTGAACCAATCCAGCACTTAGATCAGCAGGGGTTAGATCAGTCACCTTTCCCTAATTTAGGTATATTTAGGTTATATTACTGATGTATACAGTTTTGAGTCATTGTCAAGAAAATAAAGGTCTTTGAGAAGATTAAAGTTGAATTGATCGATATTGTTCAATGTTTTTTCTTTTAAAATAGAATTGTTAGCAACACGTACCAGTTCATAATTTTTTTTAGTACTACTATGGTAGATCCGCCTGAAGTGCTCCACTATGTGGTCCAAAGCTTTCCTAAGTGAATGATATACGACATGTACGAATGTGAACTACAAAGCTCTCACCTAAATATATATATATATGTTACATGTTCAACCAAGCCAATGTCACTTATTATTATTGAGTTCAATTCAGAGACCATGACTCAACTACTGACAATAGACAAGACACTTGAAGTTTGGATGGTCCTGGAGCTCCGGAATGTAGATCTTCCTCCCACCATCCATCCTTAGTAATGGTAACACATCAATCAAGTCTACCTAGTCTGGCTGACTTCACTTGCACTCTATTACATTCCTTGTTACACATGGCAAGTGACAACTAGACTCAAGTAGAGACACATTATATATTTATATATCAAGGTGCTCAGTGTAGTGTGGAAACGTGATTTGTTCTTCCTCCTGACCAGCCAAATCAGAAATTCATTCCAATGTAGTTTTTCATGAATGAACCTGTCAATCAACCCCACATCAACACCACTTGCCTCAAAGACCGTGTACATACCAGGGATGGCACCCTCTGGCGGCAGCCCTCTTCAGCTCCTCCATGTCCATGACCCGTGAGTAGCCCTCCATCTTCAAGAAAAATGTTCAGAAAGGGTGAACATTTGTGACTTGAATTGTCGTGAAGATTCTGTGAATCAATGACATGTCATGAGTCATGTGTCATGTGATGTCATGTGACTATCAATGATTTGGGCCAACTGATGCACATTGATGCACCGTCAGTGTGGTGGTGTAGCACAATTCAATTGACCCAACGCTAGTTCTAATTATCTCAACCTTTCATCACAACCCCAGGGGCTCATGAATGAAATGAAAGAAATGAGTGAGCACCTCCACAAATGTAGAGCGCCAGAAGACCAATTGTCAGACCTCAATTCGGCAGGCAGTGTCAAGTGACAACTGGAACAAACAATCGACTTGGTTGGTCCGTTCTGTTTGTTCAACAGCAACAAGACCACTGATTCTAAGTGAGTTGACTGGCATCATGCCCTGAGCTGCTAAGTCAGTCTTGGTTTACCATTTCATGGTTCAAACGGACTCAGTGCCACACATCTTGAAGGCAGAAGAACTCAACGAAGAAAGACATCAGCCAGGAGTCATATGACAATTGTTAAAAGGGTCAAGTGGCAAGTTCTTTGGGTCAACTGACAATTGTAAAGGGTCAAGTGACATCAAGTGACACATGTAAAGGGTCAAGTGATACATGTACAGGGTCAAGTGACACATGAATTTAATTCAAACGCTGAGACTTGACTTGTCCACAACTACAATCTCAAATGTCCCATGTCAAGTGGCAAGTTGAACTGTTTTGAACTGAAGGAGTACTAAGTTACCTAAATTGCTAAATTGTTGACATTATGTGTTCTTTTGTTTAAACCGACAAGGAGTGGTCTTGTCACCGTATAGTGTAAAACTAGTATCAATCACTCCTACAAAGGCGCTCAAAAGGAATAAGAAATAAGAAAGTCCTCGCTTAAGGTCATCGGTGTACTAAGGGTCGCTACTTTTTTGGATCCCGCAAAAGATCTATCTCACTTTAACTTCACTGTTCTCTGACTCAGGTTGGTTCTTTGTGAGTCTCGATTTTTTTCGCACTTTAAACGATACTGATTTTGCAAACAGGAATATCATTCATATTCATACTAGGAACATATTTACTTAAACATCTTAAACTATACTTGTGAGATTTCCTAAAAGCTAGCTAGCAACGTCAACACCAATCTGGCCCCTAGCTGATCTAACCCCTCACTCCCAGAAGTGAAATGTTCCCAAACACTCCATGTATGGCATATATGCCTACATTGACCCGTGGAACCACCCCAGCTGATTGGCATATATGGCATACATGGAGTGTTTGGGGTTGGTATTGGTAAATATGGTGAATATTCCAGGCATGGAGTCTAACTGGGACAGGATGGGACAGGACTTGGACAGGATGGGCCGCAACAACTTGGGATGGCCAACGGTTCTACGGCGGTCTCGCCCATTTGTGCCTTGCATGGAGCGCTGAAACAACAGATTGATCCTGGAGAGAGGGACCCTTCTCGCATCTTCGCGCACGTGTAGGTACTTTTGTGTTTTGGGTCTTTAGTTTCCTCGTACCATCTCGCGCCTGTGAAGAAGATCTTTGTTCTTGGGGCTTGTATAAATGAGATCATAAAAGGTTCCTTTTTTCTTCTTGCTGGAACAAAGATGCTACTAGTAACAAGGGCATTTCTACTAGGAGCAAGAAGCTACGAACGGGGCTCCTGGCAGCGCCACGAACGGAGCTACAGAACTCTTGCAGGTGGCCTCGTCGTCCGGACCAAGCCGCAGGCCTGTCGCCGCAAGGAGCTCCAGCTCGCCTCAGAGCTCCAGCTGCCCGGGCCCACGTGATGGTGATCTGCCGGGTGTAGATTGGCCATGGAGTTGAGGAAAGACATGTTACAACATATTACATGATGATACGCAATAGCTTTTTTTCTCCATGAATTCGTGAATGTTTTGATTGGGGGGTTATGACCCGATCTGTGGCCAACGCTGGGAGGTGCTGGCTGCACTAATGTCATTGCATGTAATTGCAATCAGTGCTGCACAGCGTGTACTGAAGAGCGTGTGCACACCCTCAGTTGTAGACACGAACCGGTATGTCAGTCAGTGCCTGAACTGATCACACCTGCGTTTGATTGGAGAGTGCACTAAAACATACTGTACTAAAAACATGTTCACCAAACCTTTGACCTGAAATTGGTGTACCGTATATCATGTAGTACTGCAATGCACTGCAAAATGGTTGTGGAGGGGTATTTATTTTTGGATTTTTTGTTTCTTTTTTGTATTTTTTTGTTTTTCGTGGCTTCTGGCTTCTGGCTTCTGTGGCTTCTGGCTTTTGTGGCTTTTGGCTTCTGTGGCTTCTGGCTTTTGTGGCTTTTGGCTTTCGTGGCTTTCGTGGCTTCTGTGGCTTTTGGCTTTTGTGGCTTTTGGCTTTTTGGCCTATCCATCTATCTGTCTATACCTATCTATTTATCTGATCTATCTTTCTTGCTTTCTTTCTTTTGGCAGGTTTTTCCGGTTGTTTCCGTTGCAGAGACGAAACCAAACAAGGAAGCAAGCAAGCAAGCAAGCACGAGCTGCTCACCTTTGGATCTGGTGTGCTGCTGGAGGGGGCGCTGCGCCCCCCCCCAACCCGCGCCACGAAATCTGCACTTCATCCCCAACACCCGCGCCTGCCACGACATCAATATTTTAAGGCGAACTCCCCGGTGCAAAACTTTCTAACCAAGCAATTATGCCTCCTCTATCTATCTATCTATCTTGTCTTATCTAATCTAATCTAATCTAATCTAATCTATCTATCTATCAATTTATCTTTCTATCTTTCTGCAGTTCAACATCCACAAAGTACTGCACCCGCCACGAAATCTGCACAAAGTCCTGCACCTGCCACCAACTCTACACTTCCACACCCACAAAGTCCTGCATCTGCCACGAAATCTGCACTTCAAGGTCCACAAAGTCCTGCGCCTGCCACAAAATCTGCACAAAGTACTACACCTGTGCCACGAAATCTGCACTTCAAGGCCCACAAAAAGTCCTGCGCCTGCCACAAACTCTGCACTCCAAGGCCAACAAAGTCCTTCACCTGCCACGAAATGTGCTTTGCAAGGTCCACAAAGTACTGCACCTGCCGCGAAACACGAAAAACCAAAAAAAAGCAAAAAAAACTAGACGACGAGTGGCCCGAAAGCATTTTTCGTCACGTAGGAAGTCAGAGTGCGAGTTATCCGGTAAGTGTGCAGTGAGAAGTGTGAAGTCGAGTGAGTTGAGGTATTGTGAAGTCGAGTGAGTTCTCATCTTCCCACTCCCCAGCTACTCTGCGTACTAAAGTTGTACTACCAAGTCGCCAGATCTCATCTTCCCACTCCCCAGCTGCTCTGCGTACTAAAGTTGTACTACCAAGTCGCCAGTTCTCATCTTCCAGCTCCCCAACTACTCCTCGTACTAAAGTTGTACTACAAAGTCGCCAGTTCTCAGCTACTACCCACTCACCAGTTCTCATCTTCCCACTCCCCAGCTACTCTGCGTACTAAAGTTGTACTACCAAGTCGCCACTTCTCATCTTCCAGCTCCACAGCTACTCCGCGTACTAAAGTTGCACGACACAGTCGCCAGTTCTCAGCTTCCAGCTCCACAGATTGCTCCGCGTACTAAAGTTGTACTACTAAGTCACCAGTTCTCAGCTTCCAGCTCCCCAGCTACTCCGCGTACTACAGTTGTACTACAAAGTCGCCAGTGCTCATCTTCCAGCTCCCCAGGTACTCCGCGCACTCAAGTTGTACTACCCACTCGCCAGTTCTCCTCTTCCCACTCCTCAGCTACTCCGCCGTGTACTACAGTCGTACTACCACCTCGCCAGTTCTCAGCTTCCAGCTCCCCAGCTACTCTGCGTAAAGTTGTACTACCAAGTCGCCAGTTCTCATCTTCCCACCCCAGCGACTCCACGCACTACAATCGTACTACCACGTCGCCAGTTCTCAGCTTCCAGCTCCACAGCTTGCTCCGCTCGAATCGCACTCTCGCCTGCATTTCGCGCACTCGACACGCACGATCTCCGCAGAGGGTTGCGCGCGGACCGGACAAATCGCACTCTCGCCTGCATTTCGCGAACTCGACACGCACGATCTCCGCAGAGGGTTGCGCGGGCAGCCGGCAAATCGCACTCTCGCCTGCATTTCGCGCACTCGACAAGCACGATCTCCGCAGAGGGTTGCGCGCGGACCGGACAAATCGCACTCTCGCCTGCATTTCGCGCACTCGACACGCACGATCTCCGCAGAGGGTTGCGCGCGGACCGGACAAATCGCACTCTCGCCTGCATTTCGCGCACTCGACACGCACGATCTCCGCAGAGGGTTGCGCGCGGACCGGACAAATCGCACTCTCGCCTGCATTTCGCGCACTCGACACGCACGATCTCCGCAGAGGGTTGCGCGCGCAGCCGGCAAATCGCACTCTCGCCTGCATTTCGCGCACTCGACGCACGATCTCCGCAGAGGGTTGCGCGGGCAGCCGGCAAATCGCACTCTCGCCTGTTTTTCGCGCACTCGACACGCACGATCTCCGCAGAGGGTTGCACTTTCGGTTGACGCTGTTCGTCCCGCCCTCCGCCTTTAAGAGAGAATTTATAAAGTGGGGAAATGTTTTTTCATTAGGACATCTCCCGTGCTAGTTTTCCATACTCACACTTGCCTACTCATTGCATGCTTGCATGCTCAAAGCATGCTTGCGTACCCATCACTTGTATACTTACACTGCGTGCTTGCCGAGTGTCAGTGTGTATGTGTAGGTGTCAATGTCGAAGTGTCAGTGTATGTAGTGCGACTGTAGTGGAAGTGTCAGTGCAAGTGTCGAAGTGTCAGTGTTCAAAGGATTTTCCGGAAGAACCCTTCGCAGTGCTTTCGGGAAAAAGAAAAAATCCAGAAATATATTCGCAACCCATGTTTGTTGACCATGTGATGTACATGTTCGCGTAATCCATGTATGTAATCAATATTTGCTCATATTTACTATATCGTTTGTTCAATCTGTCTCGGGGCAAAGACTGCGTCTACCATATAAATCACCATATATCATTTTTTGCAAACTCCTATGTAAATATATATATATATATACATGCGACATGCGACCCCTATTTTTGATGCGTGACCATTTCACCCCCCATGGACCGGTTCCCCGCCGTTTGGAGGCCAAAGCGGTTCTTCATGTGACCCGTGTGGGCGAACGAGCCATCCAAACCATTTGAATTTGATGCGAAAGACACATCATTCCAGTGATTTTCACCAGTGAAGGTCTCTTTCTTGGAGACCTAGGACCTAACAATCTGGACAGACGCCGTGCAGAATCCAGCACCGATCAGAATCAGGGATGCTCCGTGATGCCCCCGAGTTCCTCCCCCACCAGCCTCCCCATGTTTGGATCCGATCCTCCGGACGTTTCGACCCGTTTGGAGTTCCAAAGGATGTCCACGCGGCCGCACGCGACCGCAGGACATGTCCAGTGTTTTGAAGAATTGTTTTGCTTCATCAAGTTGTTGATCCATGTTGATCCCTCCTGCAAATAACCCTCTCTATAATACTTTATAGATACTGCAAATAACTCTGCTCCCTCTATTATGCCAAGCCTAATTATAACCTATTTCCCAATATATGTCCCCTGGCCTTTTGTGCCACCGAGGCTCAAAACGGAGAAGCTGGAGATCCTTCAGAAGGCCAAGGCGACCCACCGGGTGGCCCCCGAAACCGCGCGGAAACCACCGCGGACACCGGAAGCCGACGGCCGAGAAGCGTGGCGTGAAACGAGACGGTCGACGTGGTCGATGTTCCGAAGCCGAAGCGAATGAAAGGGGAGTGGCTTCATAGGGGGTCATGGGTTCGGGGTCAGGTTTTGATGATCGGAATGTACACGCTTCAGGATCAGTGTCTTCGAGTTTTTTGTAAGGGTCGATTTGAAGGCACACCCTTCCCGAAGACTCTTAAGGCATCGACCTGCTTCGAGACATCCAGATGGGAAGGGGCCTGGCCATTATCACCAAGTGCATGTTCTCCCAAGGACCTGGGACGACCGACCATGGTGCTTCTGCACTCTCCCAGTGCACCGCGTATGGACTTGGCATCAACTTGGGCAGTTGGACCTGGACAGACAGCACCAGAACTGCAACAACAGCACCAGATCTGTTCTTGGGATTTTCATCAGCGTTTGGTGGCACCAGGGCATCAGGTGAACAAAAAGAACAGGAGGGATGGGTGATGATGCAGTTGAGGTTCATTCAACAACACCTGAAAAGAAAGAATGACTTGTTTTCACTACGGAATTTGTTCACCTTTCCTGGTGCATTCTACCGGAAGAAGGGGCCGGCATTGTTTAGACCATCAAGTTGCACAACCCATCCGAAGTTCATGCCAAGGGGTGGTTATATTGCTGTATAATAGGTGATGTAAAACGGCAAAACAGGTGCCACTTCCGAGACCAGGCTGATGCTGCAGAAAACGCTGAGAAGTTGCGCTTGGGGCCCCGGCAGAATGTCCGTGGCCGAAGAAGACGCCGCCCTGGCCGTGAGACGTGGCAGGCGTCTCATGTGACGCAAATGCCCCGAAGCACAGACGAGAATCATTGAACTTCCAAGCATGTGAGGAAAGTCACGCTGAACTTGGCGAGGGTATCATGATCATTCATGATCCATGATTGGTCACAACATCGAGCAGATCATGGTTGCATGATGAATGAGGACTTCCAAGGTACTGGATCTGTTGACGGAGCGATTGCCTTCCCTAGTCAAACGCTGCCTTCCATTTCATGGGAACATTTAAGAGGTATGGGAGCATTTCATGCGATCAACCCCCGATATCTGAACATGGGGACCCCACAATCGCAGTATGGCCTAAATAGCCTTATGAGTGGGTCGCTGAAGGGGGCGTCACAAGTTGCATGGACACCTGGACCAACCACCTACCCTACCCTCCCTTGTCCTCCCTCCAGCAGACATGGAAGTTGACATACTTTCCTGTTTTTTGAGGAACGTGTTCTTTTCCAGGGATGATTTTTGACTTCCACGATTGTTGGAGGGAGGGTAAAAATTGGTTCGCCAAAATGAGTCTCGTGGGGACATACATTTTTGGTCCAAATTACTGTAAATTGAAGCAACAACAATGCAAAAATAGGCGGGTCCAATGGTAAGTAGTCTTCCTGTGCTTTATTTTTTCCACAGGTGAGGTTGGACCACCTGCCTCGTCCATACCAGCATGTTGTGCTTTTTCAGCTGGTGAAAGCCTTAGGCAGCCTTAGGCATGGAATGAAAGGTCACTCCCAGGTCATGCCAGGAACACTTTCGGCCCGTGGTCCACAGGCCTTTCCCGCAGTGAGCTGGAGGAGCTTCGCGGCGTGCAGGCCCTGCAGGGAATGCCGCGCAGTTTTCGGGTTCCGCGGAGGCAACGCAACGAGTTCGGCCGAAGTGTTGAAGACGAAGAGAGACGAAGAGGTGAAGTAAGGAGAGGTATGACACAGAGGCGGCCCAGCAGGTTGGAAGCAATCACTTGAAAACAAGATGCCCCAGACACGAATCGTGGGACTGGCATATGACTCCCGATCAGTTGGGATAGTTGGGAGTGATTGTGGTCAGGGGTCTCATGTATGTTATTTCCATGTCCCAGACATGTCGCGTTCGGGATGCTAGTGCCCTTCTCCTTCCTCCTTCCAGCTCGGCACACGGCCCCAGGCCGCCTATGAAAGCCAGGTGGACGCCCTGCGGAGCGAGCTTTTGGCCGCCAAGGCGCCGATCGGCGCGGTTTTCGGGAACGAGCATGGCAGACGAGCATGGCGCGTTGGGGTTCCATGTTTCGATATGCGTCGCCATGGCCATTCATTGGTTGTCTTCTTTGTTTGAGGCGAAGGATCTGACTTTTCAAGGCGTGATGGATTCCCTAAAGGGTGTAGAAGGGTGTTCCGCACTGGAACACACCCAGGCCCTCAGTATTGCTCGCATTCTTTCGGGGGCCACTCGATCCAACTGGTGCAGTCCGATTGGATGCACCTTCAGGTGGGGCTGGGCAAGGCCGAGGGCTTGCGGGACGCCGCAGTGCAGGAAGTGGAGGAGCGCCCGGGGGACACCACGCCACAACCCGACTCGGGCGAGTTCAACCGAGTGTGTTGCCGGATGTGCAGAAACGTGTGCCACGTCAGTGGAGTTTTTTTCTGTGTTTTTTCCTGAAGAAATGGCCAAGTCTGGTTGAGAACAAAACTACGGTTTTATATTATATATGAAAATACTAATAAGAATATATACACATACTAAATCAAGCAGTTTGTAAGTGTTGTGCTGTAGGGCAATGTAGGGCTACTCTGGGTGTTGTGTAAGTGTAGTTCAGCAACTTGTCGTGCACATACATCCACGCTGTAAGCATGAAGGTTGCATTATGATGTCAAATTTTGCAATCCCTTGCAAGTAGCGGCAAGTAGCGTCCTTGTTGTCAATGGCTCGTTTGTTTCCAGAACAGTGTCCTTTGACATGATTGTATCCGGGAAAAGGGCGATTTTTTTTTATGGATGTCATTCTGTTGTGCAGGCTATGCGCTCGCAGTTGAATTCTTTGCGGGATGCCCGTGCCCAAGTACGGGCTGGTCTCGATCAGCCTTTGCAGTTGAGTAAAGGGTGATCCCACTGAAAGAGACAACGACTACCACCTTGCATGAAGAATCAAGAGTCAGTAATTCTTACATTCTTTGTCTCGTCAACGGTTAGTAAATCTGTTGACACATTTCCTTGGTCTTGCGTGGTGATGATGCATTTTTTTCTCCAAGACATGCTTGGAAAGATGGGTCAACATGTGTTTTTCTCAATGTTCAGCTGCATTGTGGCTTATTTCTTGCACAGAGGTTTTTTGCGGCTGCTAAAGCCTGATGGTTCATTGAACCGGGTTCCAGGTTCAATGAAAGCACGGTTTTGGATGTGGACGCGTGGTTTCGTTTTTTATTTTAAGGTGGCCTGCATCTGAATCTAAACCACCTTATCACAATCTACACCAGAATGACCATAATGCCACAATGCTTGTCACTGGTGAGAGATGCATCTCATTGCATGTCTTCCATGAGACGCATGTTGACCTGCTGTGGCCAGGATCCTTCTTCAGCCAGGATCTCGATCGGAAGGATTTGAAGGATCTGACCTGGGGCCCTGACTGGGGCGAAACGCAGGGACGAGCACTTGAGCCACCCTACCTAGGTCCCATGAGGCGAAGGGACGGCTGTCGGCGCTCGGCGTCCGGCATTCAACATCACTCTTGATGGACAAGCTCCACTAGCCTTTTTGCTCAGGAGGGAACTACAAGGAGCTCCCCAACCCCTTACTAGTTCATGAAATGCAGCTTGAATGCCTTACAGATTTGGGGTCAATCGGGTCAACGGTCCAACCATGCCACAGAGACATGTAGGGGATTCCCATAGGTTGACAGGTGAAACAAGTTTCTGGTAGGTGTCAGAATGTCTATACAAGGACGTCCTCCAGAGGTGGTGTCGTGGCCGCAAAACACCACACAATAACTAGCTATTCTCCACCAAAAGAGATGATCAAACATGGAACTTGGACATCAACATGGCCACTGAGGATTGAAAGCCTTGTTTTCCCCGCAACTGGCATCACTTGATCATGCACCTAAAAGAGCAGTGGTGAGATATTCCATTGTGGTCTTTTCAAGATGTTCTACTCAAGCGATCCCCAATGCTGTCGCAGACGGACAATGTTTTTCCTTTACTAAATAAGGGAAAACATGGGAAAACATCCAAATCCTTCAAGGAGATCTGACACAATGATGATTGGGCCTCCAGCATCCTCCCAGCCCATCCTGTCCAATGGATCATGCTTCCCTGAGGCGCGAAGATGGGGTCCCAGCGCTGAAGTGAAGGCCGACGTCGAGGCGCAGCGGCGAAGCGCCCGGCGAAGCGGTGGCCGCGCCGGTCGCGCCGGTCGCAGCGGTGAAGTTCGGAGCTTCGATTCGGTGCCTCCGGGGGGACATCTGAGAACATGGACTTAGAATGGCATATATGTATGCCATATATATGCCGATCAGTTGGGGTGTTTTTTTGGGGGTCAATGTAGGCATATATGGCAGTCCCATGGAGCGTCTGGGATGGACATGCAATGACATAGATGCACGACGACAGGTTCGGAGTTGACCAAGAGACGGCCCGGTCGCTGGTGGAGTCGGACCGGGCCAGGAGAGGGGACCGACCTCGATGCCCTATCTTGCTTCAGAATGGTGACACGGGACGGACAAAAACAGTTGTTTCATAGCTTGCTGAAAAATCTGCTTGAACTTACTCTTGGATCTGGATATGTCACATTGGTTTTGACATGCCCTTTGCCAAGACCGATTCTCCCGTCTTTTGCTTTGCAAACGTCTTTGATGTGGATCCATCTCTTGGATCCTTCAGGCGGCTTGGGGCTCCTTTCACCCGACCCTCGAACGGCCTCTTGGGCGTCGATCTCCGGAGACGACGTGGGAGACGGGACGATGGCGCAGTCGAATGGAAAGGCACTGCACCATTCGCAAGCCAAAACCAATTGGACTTATATTATTAGCCGGTTTGTTGTCTTAATGAGTCTTAATGTCAAGTTCTTCCTGTGATGCTGGGCATGTGACAGCACGTGACACCTCAGGTTGCAGGAAGCCTTATCCTCCGCCGGTCTTCTCCAGGCATAAGGGTCCCGCGGGTGAAAGAAACGCGCACTCCGAACGTCGGGGTATGGCAATGCCAATTAATTAATGGCAACTGCCGGCAGTGGGGTATGTTCATAGATTAGATGATCATAGATGTGTAGTCTTCGGCGATGAAGTCCATGGGCATTGTAGGTTGTGATGATGTTGGTGTTATAGATCTTATAGCTAGGTTGCCACATGTTGCCACCCTGATTTGCTTCCCGCTTGGAGGGTTCTGCATCCTTCATGCCCGCATGAATTGCGGGGCGGTCACTCGGCTGGCTATTGAAACATGTCTCTCCTTGGGACTTGACGCGGAAGAAGTGGAAGAAGTTTGCATACTTTTCCGCTATAGGGTGGCCTTTGTCGTGTTTTTCGACAGAACTCTACATTATGTTCCTTTCTTCTTGCAATTTGCAAGTCGTTCCATTTAATATGTGGTTGGGGTTGGCCCCTGACCCTGAGGATTCATTAGAGATGTGTACGCCCCCTCAAAGCCTATCCCAGACCCTCCACGGGACTGGACTATTTACCTATACCAGGACCCTCCAAGGGGTGTCCAATGGACTACCCCACACTACCGAGAGGCTTCTATTGGGCTAATCTGTTCTTTTCAACCCCAACTGATCGAGAGTCAGGACGAGCAGAATCAGGGCTCCAGGGCTCCTGCTCAGTCGCACGAATTCTGGTCTTGCAAATTGCAACAGTTCTCACATGTTGATTGAGAGGTGGTCTGAGACCAGAACGTTCAGACCCTGATCGGTGGTGGATGGGCGACCAGACGGGCTGTTCAACCTCTGTTGGTTGCCGTCGCCCCCTTTGGATCGTAGGTCTCACCTCTCAGCGCCTCCCGCACCTTCAGGCCACGGCCGCCTCCCAAAGGCCCCGGACGGAGACGGCGGAGGCGAGTACGGCGAAAGAAGGCGTTGTGGCTGTTGGGGCGCTGGCGGCGGGGGTGGTGCATGGTGGTGGTTTTGGGGGGAGGTCCAGGTTGGGCGGTCCAAGTGGAGCCAGACCCGAAGCCAGCTAGGAAATTCATGGGAAGTGGAAGACCTACCAGGATTTGGGGCAGGTTGGGGCGAATCAGTAACCCGTGGTCGGTTTTCGGTGGGACATGTGCACCACCGGGCTGCCTCTACCCATCTGGCATGTGCACCTCAAGGTCAATGCACATCACCTTTTCGCAGTTTCAACACCAAGAGGGCCGCGAAGGGATGGCCACGATATCCAACAATATAGGTTGAAAGGGGTTGTGGGATTTACTACGGTATTTCGGTTCTTCTTTCTAGCAGATCACTGCCCATCACTGATCCATCATCCCATCCTCCATGCTGAGGCCACCCCTGCCGTGCCACGGAAGCTCAAGAGAGACCGAGAGGACCCGCGTTTAGGCGCCGGGAGGGTCAATCGGAGTGTGTGTAGAAGACTTGACGCGGACTCTTCATATCCAAATGCTGGGGATCGATGGATGAACAGCGGTTTTTAAACGATATGAAGTCAGCTCTTAAACATGTCATACGGAGCCTTATCATCCACATGATGGTGTTCTATTTTTCAAGAGTCTACCAGTCGAAGTTGCCTGTTGAACCAAGACCAGCCTCCGGGATTGGAATCAAGGGCTTTGTTTTGTCCAGAAAATGACCTCACGGGATCGACTGCGGCCTTTTGAGCCCGACGCTTAGCAATGCCTAGAGAGTTGCAGTCTAGCTGGGCGAAAAGGGGTGAGTCCTGAGTCAGCCATAGCCCCCGCTTTTTCTGGGGAGCCTGAGGAAGCATGAGTCAATGAGGAACCTGACCTCAAGTGGTTGAACATGAAAAGAATTCTGGATGCTTCATTCATGCGTCATAATTTGTAGCTTGTTGATGTTCCCTTGGCGTTCCAAGACGAAATAAATTCCATCTGAAACTCCGGGAGCAGTTGGGGCATGTTTGTGAGTCGATCAACAGGATAACAGGGGACCCTGGTTTTTCCCACCGAAGTTGAACAGAATAGATCACCACCGGAGGTCAACGTGTCAGGGAAATGAGCTCTATTTTTGGAGCCACCGTCATATATATATACCCTTTGCTTCAAGACCCTTTCATTTTGTCGGGTCGAGCTGGAAACATCGTGTATCCAAGAAATGCTGCTGAAACATCGTGTATGGAGAGAAAACCTCGGGCTTTCATGGAAACCCTTTCTTTTGATGATTTCTACGCACCCAGAGTTTCATAAACTCAACCTTGGTGCACTCATGTGTGGTTTGTGGAGCCTCATCGTCCCAGTCGCGAGGTCCAAGTATCGAATCTTCAGGTGATTTGCAAAGCATCAGAGTCATGGAAGGTACTCTCCGCCGTTTTTGAAAAACAAGTTTATGCAAATGCAGGCAGAACATCGGATTCCGTTGCCAAATCAACCACCATGGCATCATCAAAGGTGTGTTGAAGAAAAATTAGAAACATTCTTCGGGATGTCATGCCCGGAGCGGCTTCTGCGACCTTTTCCACAGCAGTGTCGGGCCCTTGGTTTCTGCAAGTCCTGCCGCAAGTATGGATCACAACATTGCTTGGATGCCATCACTGATGCCATCATCAAAAATTCAAGTTCAATCAAAATGATTAGGGTTGTAGAATTAGCGTTCGTACTTGAGGTGAACCCTTATAGACAGAATCACCGCAGCCATTTGGGTGTCAAAGTTCGAAGCAGTGGAGAGCGAGCGTGTGACAAACATGCCGGACGACTCCAAAGCAGCCAGGCCAAAGGGGAGACCAAGACAACCACTAGAAAAATTGGACTTGGAAAGGATTTCCGAAGAATGGGATTCATCAGAACTGGTCCGAGACCGGATGCGCAGTTCAGGGTACTTGATGGCAGACTCAACCACGGAAGACATAGGGTGTTGTGTGAAGGAACAGGTTGTTTTGTGGCCTTTCCTCACACGAATGAGTTTGACGAGGACACGCCCGGTTCCAGCAGTAGATGCTTTGCGCTCGGAAGTTCAGGCATTCTTCTTGTTGTGCAAAAGGCCCGCATCGAAGGACGATGAGGCTGAAGTGTTCAGGCTATCTTGGCGCATCCGGAAGCTACTTGGATTCATCAAGATGAAGGTCCGTAGACAAGAAGTGTCAAATGCGCCTTGCCTGTATCATACTCGGTTCAACATCATCGTATTCTTTTTGGGTTGTTGTTCAAAAAGTGTCATGGCACCATGTTTATCCGCCTTGGCAAGTGAGGTGCCAGAATTCCAAAACATGTGTCTTGAGCTTGACCCGGATCTCCAGGCAAGCTCGAATGTTATAATCGTTTGCGCTTCACCAAAACGGTCATTCAAATGTTGTACTGTGATGTCTCTTGCTCAGGCAGTGGTGGATGCTATCAACGAAAGGTTGGCAGCCAAAAGAAAAAAACAGGACTGCCACGAGAACCGCTTTTACACATGCATATATCACATACTTTGGAGTCTTTACTGCTGAAAGCCATGATTGCAATCTTACTAACTCGTGCCGGGCTTTTACAAAATAGCGCGTGAGGAGGGCACCAATGAGAATGAGGATGAGGACGAGTGGGAGCAGGAGGGCGAGGAAGAGGAGGATTTGGAAAACGATGAGGTTGTAGCAGACCCCCCTGCCGCGCCAACCATTGAGAGGGAGCAAGCGCCGGACACAGCAGCGCATACAAGTGGTGTCGTTTTGGGAGATGACCGAAACGGGGCAGGTCAGGGTCAGCAGTTCGGTGAGTCACAAACGGAGTCTGGAGGTAACCAACCGGACTTGGGTGCAGAAACAACGGTACAGCCAGTCCCGACAGTCGAGGAGGTCAACCCCGCACCCGCACCCACTTTGCTTTCAACTTCTGTGTCCCAACCGAACGAGACTGAACAGCCAGCGCTGGCCAAGCCTGATGCAGCCACTACCTCATCACAACCGACGGAGTCCAGCACCTTTGAAGATCTAAGTTCTTTCGTCTTCAATTGAATGCAATGTGTGCCATCCATGGAAAAACGGTATGTTTTTTTCCAAGGTAAACAGAAGTTGTTGGCGCGCCGGGCAGAGCTGCAAGCAAAGTTGAGCAAGCCCCTGGGTCATCAATTGTTTTTCACTAATCATCCTCAAAAGGGTTGGGCCAATACATTTCGCAATGGTTCTGTGTTCCTTTTTTGTCGCGCAGCAACCACCTGCCCAGGATCATTTTGGCGAGAGAGCAGGCTCCCAGCAATGAGGCCGAGTTGAAGGATGCTTCGGCTCAGCGAGCGGCTTCTGTTTCTTCACGATCTTCAGGCGTCTCACTTGACAGTGTTGCGTTGGATATTTGCTAGAGGTCACTATCGAGAATACTTGTACTCATAATTACCGATCGATCGTCGATAGTATTGGCAGGAAAAGGTAAAGCAACAGCACTCAACCCAGAGCACGTCGAGACACAGCCCACCGACTTGGCAGCTGCAGTTCCCTCAGACAGCTTGCCACCTTCCGATTCACCAGAAATTCCCGCTGCTGAGAGGAGGGCAGCCTATCAAAATCGCCCAATTCCTGTTTCTTCTGAGGGTTGCCCCACACCCGTGGAGCCCAACGTTAAGGAAGAGACACGCGTTGAAAAGGAGGATGCAACCCAAAAGTATTTCACGGGCAGCGAGAATGAGGCGATAGTTTTTTATTTTTAAATGTTGAATTGAATTGCGTTTGTCATCATTGAAAGAAAAGGCATCCCCCTATTAATATCCGATATATTTTTGCTGGCCAGGAGGAGCCTCCCAAACCAGCTGTCACACGGCAAGATCAGTTGGATATGAAGCCTGAGAATGAGCAGGGTCGTGGACGTGGTCGAGGGCGAGGAAAAGGAAAGGGCAGGGGCAGGGGCAGGGGAGATGGTCAGCATGACACACCCAGCTCAGCGCGTGCCAAGCGCGCAAAAGAGCCCAAGGAGAAGCCCGAGAAGAAAGTAAAGCGTGCTAAAGTAGCAGAACCCCAACCGGAGAAACCTGCTCGAAAAGCTAAAGGCCCGAATGATGAGTGGGATAACTTCAAACCATGGGGAAGCGACTATGAGTGGGATGGATACTATTGGTGTCAGGAGTCTCAACAATGGGTTTGGGACAGTGTAGCTTACTGGGAGGCTGAAGAGACCCGAAAATACTTGGCTGAATTGGAGAAACAAGAACCGCAAGAACGACTTACCAAGAAGCGAAAGACTCGGGGTGAGAACAAAGAAGGCAACCCAACTGGTGGAAGCAAGGTGAAGAGCCCTGACAAGCCAAAGGAAGAGGAGCCAGAAACAAGGAGACGCAAGACTGCGCCAAGGCGCAAGGAAAAGGAGGAACCGGAAACGCAGAAAGCAAAGGACGAAGAGGAGTACCTGAAGGTTTTTCGTGATTTCTACGAGGTTTTCCACCAGGTACCAAAGGATCAACAAAGGGATTGGGTGCAGTTGAAGATTTCCGGGCACAAGTGTAAGACTTGCAGTTTTGCCAATCAATACTGGACTCGTTCCGCACTTGGCCTGCGCTGCTTGAAAGAGGGGAAAGATGTGACTACCTTCTCTTGTGGGGTGCCCGGGCTTTCCCCAGAGTTCAAGATGGCAGCTGCTTTCGCATCTGCTGCTCTGATTGCTGCTTGGGTTGCAATGTTTGCTGCGTGATGCGTTGAAATGTTTGCTGCATTCGTTCATTAAAACCTTGATCTGCTCCTGTTAGACATTCTTATTGAGGCCGAGTACGCGGACATGCTGGTGGCTACTGACGAAAATCCCAAGATACTTCGCGATTACGAAGAAATCCAGGAGGCGATCCCCATAGTGAAGAAGGCTGCCAAGAAGGCTGCAAAGAGCTTTGATTTTGGGAAGAACCCAAAAAGATCCAAATGAGATCGATTTCCAAAACGTTGGGGTGCCGTTTGCGCATACAGCTGTTCGCCAGCGATGTGTCTTTGGGGGGTGTCCAGATGAAAACATCTACAGACACCAGGGTAGCGCACAATCGCCAGCTTAGCGCAGCTATAGACTTTTGAAGGAATGCACAGCTTATTCACAATGCACTATAAAGATTGATTTACACTGTAGTATCATCTTCTAGGTGTTTTGGCATTCCATGCGCAGTGTGGATTCTGGCCGGAGACCATCTGTTCTGTTGAAGTGAAAAAGGCTGACTCCAGGCTGAGCCGCTTTTTGCTTTCCATGAGTTATATAAACGACTCTTTGCTAGAATTGGTGAATCGGTTGGAGCTTCTTTTGATGTTCATGCCCAATGCCAAACAAGTACGGTCGAGTTGAACACACGGAAACGGAAATCATAAGTTTTCAAATGAGTACTGTGTTTTGGAGTCGTGACATCAACTTGCAAAAGCCAAAAGCTGTTTGAGACCAGGGAGGTGCTTTTCACTGCCTCTGTAGAGCACTACCCAACTCTCAGTTTCAATT